GATACAACACACATCGATGGCTAGGGTATCGAGGGTACGAGCTAAATACGCCTGTTGTCCTATACGCACCAAGGTACGCACGTAAATGTGGCTAGTTTGGATGGGCATCGAGGGCGAAGAAGAGCTTCCACAGGCGGAGTATTCGGTGAGACTGACGCTGTTCGAGGCAGGATGCGAGGGAATGGGAACGGAATTTCCATCGGATGCACAACTGGTGGTACGATTGTCTGAAGGTCTTGATAATAATGGAAATGTTTGAGGGGGGGGGGTGAATGTGTTTGGTCGAGGAAAAATCGGAGAATAGGAAGATGTGCACGGTGTAAAGCATTTTTTATGCGAGGGGTGGACTGATAGAGCGAATTAATGATCACGCTGAGGTTCATGTTTTGCGTCCAGTCAGCAAGCCAATGCATGAGAAGAACATAGAGGTGAGAATAAGCAGAGTATGGATCTCTTTTCTCAGGGGATGTTGTCCAAAACACTATAACTGGTTGATCGCAGCGAACGACCGACAATGGCATTCTTTTTATTTCTCATGAGATGATAGGGCTTGAAGGGGTTTGTACACAAAAACTATATACTGTATGTGAATGAGGTATTTTAGGTGTCCGGCGGTGATAGCGAATTTTCCATGACATTATTCCCAAATACTCATTGACCTACCTCAGCGCTGGTGACCCGCTCCCACCACCCAACCTGCGCCAAACTACGTAAACATGAACAGTTTTAAACTCCCAGATGATAAGTATATTTCGTGCACAAGATTATGGCCTGAGACTCAAATCAAAATTTGCCGCAGTGTCACAATCTATTCGGCCTTTTATGTTCAAGAAGAGTCCACGTTGGCTGCAAAGTAGTTTCGGTGGTGCATACTACGCAATATGCGATATAGAACTGACAGTTGATGCAAACTAAAGGCAATGCAATTTTTGCGGTTTGGCACCTGTTTTTTGAATGATTGAGCTGTCGAATGAAAACATAGGCCGCAGCACTTATATGTTGGCCTAACAATCGTCGCTTTGGAAATATGCCGAGTTTTTCCACGTACTGAGCTATCAGGATTATGCTGACACTATTCGAGATTACATCTGTGACTACTCACGAGTAGCTGATTTGCGTCATCGACTTCCAGAAAATTGCCGGTCACATTTTGAATAAAGAGACCATATCGCAATACTGTACGATTTATGTCCAGGACGATTACGTTTCGGTGGGAGTGACTTGTCGAGAATAAACGGAGATAGACTGCCACGTCCTGGAAACCCGTTGCTGCAAGATAGCTCCGATGGCATAATCAGAGCCGTCAACCTCTACGCTGAGCGTCGCTGATGAATGCATGAGGAGCATGGCACATGGTAGGCATTCTTTCGACTCTTGGAACCTTAATTGTGTGGCATCCGCAAGTACAAACTTACATGGATTACCAAGAAGTATCCGTTCAGCATGCGGTACATATATATATTTATATGTATATATACTTTGTGTTGTGATCTATGCGCTTTCGTATCATGTGACGCTAATGTTCTATTCGAATATTGTATAATGCATCAGTTTTCATCTGAAGTGTTGCCGGACGAGTTGTCTATCTTTTAACGTGTGGAATCCATTAGCTAATCAATATCTTATTAGGAAGCTAACCTCGGCACGATAACTCAATCTTTTTATGATTAATTGAATTTCTCCGAGAACTTCCCTGATGTTTTTACGGCTTAATTTTTATTGAAGTGTATTCCTTCCACGACTGTTCTGTATCATATAGTTATCGATTCAAAAAGAAGTGCCATTTGCTATTGGAAGCAGTACATAGTTTCGTAATAAATCCGCCCATTGTTTCTTTTAGTTTTGGGTTTCCTATCTTTATGTTGTTACGCTCGGTAGCTTGTATTGCGCAATTACTTGTTCCACTTTTCAGTTTCAATAAGTTGGTTGAAGAAAATCGTCCCGAGGATATACTCTCACGAAGCGAATTCGCTCGGCTCCACGCCCAAGTCTCCTTGGCTGCAGCGAAGGCGTTATCGTTTGAGGAACGAGCTTCAGATATTGTAGATGATCTGGAACCACCGATTGTCGGAGTCACAAAGCCGGTGGTTGAAGTAAGTTTTACCATTCGTTGTTTTAAAGACGGTAATCACGAAGATCTACTTTGAAGTTTTTGCAACCAGCAATCCAAGTCCGGAGATGGATCGGATAGCCAATAGCCTTAGTAAGATTTTGGCGATATTGAAGCTGGCCAATAAACTTTACAATATTGTTCTTAGAAGTCAAAATATACTTCTCAATAGACCTGGTCAAACGCAATCTTCTGTCAGGATAGAACTAGCTCCGCTTTAACGGGATATCCTAGCGAATCGTGTCGGAGATAAACCAGTTTTTCTGTAATCTCCGTTGACGGTATTAACAGATGAATCTAGACCCATGTCTCTCGCTTAGGATTGCCCTGTTTTCGATTTTACCGGAATTTTGAAAACCAAATTTCGTCGAAAGCCTGCAATCCCTGTGGCTTAAGATACGGCTGAAATGCTTGCATTCAGTAGCAAAATGAGGATGGCCGTAAGTGACAGGTGTCATTTTTGTGCACCGATCAACTCAGATCAGTCTGTTCCACGGTCCGCAAGATACTGCGAGCATTCTCCAAAGTGTACGAGATAAAAAGCAAGTGTTGCAGTGCTATCCGTTCTTGCTTTTCTTACAAAGCCTCAGAAGGATTAATTCGCACAGTCGGGAGGACTCATCTTTCACTCAGGATCAGCGGTAATTCAAGTCCCCGAAATTTACGTGTAGGTAGGGTCACTTCAATTCGGTTATTGAACCGGACGATAGCGCAGCTACCTACTG